CGCTCCTTCGCCGGGAACGGAGGTCCCCGGAGAGGTGGCCGTCTCCAGGGGGTGGTGGCGGCGCCGCGACAGCGCGGGGGTCCCCTTCTCTTCTGGGTGCAAGTCCGGGCGCCAGACCCAGGAAGTTCCTGGGACCGATACTCGTCGGCTTTTGCGTTGGTTTCACAGACCCTAGGCCTCCGCCTCCAGGGTCGTAGGCTCTGGCCTTCACCCGCAGAGCTGAACCGGCAGATTCCGGCTCCTGGTAAATGTCAGGTCCCGGTGAACTTCAGTTCTTTCCACTGTTTTCAGGTACTTTCGCCCCTCCGATATTCCTGGGCGCTCCGCGTTCCCCAGCGGCAGGCTTTCTGCTCTTGTTTTGAATTGTTCGTTTCCTCTCCGGGTTGTCTTCCCAGCCCTTTTATTCCGAAATACCAACACGCGTGATATGTTTATGTCTAAACGGGGAAGGCTATCCGCTTCTGCCCAAGCAACTCTCCTGCTTTGGGGTCTGGATACCAACTAATTAGAAATGATACATAGTAACGAATTCCCACCCCCGCCAAACTTTTCACCCGGGCTTCCGAACTCTGGGAACCCTCCCAGGAGAGAACCTCAGCGTGGCGAGAAGGCACCGCGATGGGCAGGCAAGGGGAAGCGTTCATTTTGTCATGTGTCCTCCCCAAACATTCAGCGCCAGGGTGAGCAGAGAGGACGGGCGGGGAGCCGGTCCCGGTCGGGAGAACGCTGGGGACGCGCCGCCCAGACTCTTTCCAGCGTCTTTGTTTTCTTTTCTTTTCTTTCTTTCTTTTTTTTTTTTTAACGAATGGAAGGTCTTCAACCTGTCAACTGGGAGGTCACTCAGCTCCTGGGGGTAGGAACCCCAGGGTGTCACCCATAGGCGCGGCTTTTATTTTTTTTAATTACTCTTCTTGTAATTCTATGAGGCCCCTGGTGCGTGAGGCTGGGGAGAGGAGGCAGGGTGGGGACGGGCGGGCGGGCAGCCTGCGATCTGGGGAGGAGGGGGCTGCCTCCGGCTGCGAGACGGCACGGGTCTCGGAATTAG